CTGTACACTGTGCAGCCCCAGAACCTTGGGCACGCTGTGCCAGCCACCGAAACCAGGAGTGACAGTGCACGCCTCCACTCCCAGCACTGGGGAGGCTGAGACAGGAGGATTACTACAAGTCTGAGCTGCATGTTGAGACCCTTCACTAAATTAATTAAATAGTTATAATAATAATAATAATAATAAAGAAATTAACACTGAAATATGTAATGAACATTAGAGAAACATTAAATCTTATAGAAACAATGCCTTTAAACCTACCACAGAGGGAAACAGATTTCTTCAATGTTTAGTAGTATTTTCCTAAATGCTTTTCTAGTCAGCAAAATAGACACCTGATTTTGAAAGCATTTCGTGCTTTTTTATTAGAACAACATTTGTCATAAGGAGGTCTGACTAAATGAAAAGCCTTCTACGCTTGTGGCACATTCTACAAAACTCAGTCAATTCACCAACTAAATCTAATTTTCTTCTACACAATGCTCTGTTTATTAGACTTCCATGAAATCAGATATAACAAATGTTCATAATAATAACTACAAGGCACAAAGTCTGAATCTTAAAACTATTATACAAACATTAATATAGTTGGCTAGGTGTAGTAGTGCATGCATGTAACCCTAGCACTCAAGAGGCTGAGGCTGGAAGATCACTGCAAGTTCAAAACTGGCCTAGGCTTCAAAGTGAGCTCAAGGCCAGCCGGAGCTATACAGCAAGACCCTGCCTCAAAAAGACAAAGAAAAAAAAAAGAATTACTATAGATCTGAGTGTGGAGGCACATGCCTGTGATCTCAGCATTCCAGAGAATGAGGCAAGAGAACTACCTTGAGTTTAAAGCCAGTCCGAGCTACAGAATAAGTTCAAGGCCAGCCTGAACTACAGAGTGGGATTCTGTCTCAAACACAAACAAAAATAGCAACAAAAATTAATATAAATAATTTAGAATAGAGTTCACTGCTACATTTTAAGTATCATGTCTGTGGAGGGCCCGTGAGATAGCTCAGTAGACTAAACGCCTGCTTAAGCAAGTGCATGGACCGGGGTTCGATCCCCAGCACCATAGGCTGTACTGGCCCGGAAGCACAGAACAGGCCTCCAAGACTGGGTGTGGTGGCACACGCCTGGAATCCCAGCACAGAGGAGCCTGAAAACAGGAGGGTCACTACGAGTCTGAGCTGTGCAGTAAGACCCTATACAAAATACATAGACACACATATACATATATACCATGTATAAGGATTCACAACACATTGGGTTATTTTTATAATATGAAAAGTCAAAAGAAGATCATGTTCAAAATGTCTTATTAGCAGTTTATACTTAACAGGTATCAATGGAAATACTCTAACGGAGACATTCTTATCCCAATTTTAATACCTTTTTAATGATTGGACAGTCACAGTTCCATATATTACAATTTAATTCAAAAATCAATAAAGTACTGCAGCATTGTTGCACAATAGAGAATATTTTTAATACCTCAAAACACAAAAAGTCCCTATGTGCTGTGACTACTGTCTGACAATGGCAGGTTTAGATTGTAAATTTTTAAAAACTAAATCATAATAGATCCATAATCTCTTTTAAACAGGGCATTCAGCTAACCAGAAGAGAAATACCCACATTAGATAAGAAATTTGAGGGCAACAGCTCTAAATATAACTTTGTATCATTAATGAGCACAACTATTACGTGATAAAAAACCAGCAATGTGGTGTCCTTTTTCTGTTTTATTTTTAATACAGTAATATATTTTTTTTAAAAAGTAATATAACTTTAGGGATCTCGTGAACTCCAATGAGGCCATAGATACCTTTAATGTTTTGCATAATTCTATCTATAATATTGTGGAGTTACAAATAAAGAAAAAACAATTAAACCAAGTGAGTAGAAAGTGTTCAACAAAAGAATAAAAAATTCATAAGCTGTAAACACACAGGTCTTCTTGTGAACTGACTGGTCACAAGCCCATTATAGGGCTGGTGAGATGGCTCAGCTGACTAAGCACCTGCTTAGGCAAGCACAGGTACCAGGGTTCGATCCCCGGTACCACATGCCATGCTGCCCCTGCCCCTGCCCCTGGGGGCGTTCTAAGCTGGCCACCGAGACTGGGCATGGTGGCACACACCTGTAATCCCAGCGCTGGGGAACCTGAAAACAGGAAGATCACTACAAGTCCGAGCTGCATAGTGAGACCCTGTACCAAATACAATTAAAAAGAAAAAAAAAGCCCGTTGTTCTCTGGTCCTTCTTCACGCGGTCCACACCCATCAGTTCATAAGCGGGATGGCAGAGCGAGATACTGCGTATACCGAAGTGGAGCACGCCTTCGTGAGTCTTAAATTTTAACAAGGCAATCTCACTCGTGCACATCATTATAAAAGGATTTAATTTTTTTTTTTTTTTCACAGTACTGGGGACTGATCGAATACTCTTCCAGCAAGCTGCACCTCTCTCTGTACTGGTTTTTTTCTGCCATTCTAGCTGCTGAATCCAGAACCGCAGCAGGCAGAGGCAGCAGCCTAGCACTGACCTACATCCCCAGCACTTCCTACCTCATGTTAGGTCAGCACAAGGTAAGCTGTCCAGAAAGTACTGAACTTGTGCTGCTCATGCATTAGCCCCCCAAGCAGTCGGCATACAATCGTGCGGCACCATCCCTACGCCTGTATTATTTAAAATTTTTCTACCAAATGAGCCTCATTTTCTGCGGGCAGTCTATGGTTCCAAGTGTGTATGACTTGTATCACAACTGCCTCGAAAGCTTACTTATTCCCATCACCAACCAGACTGACTTAGACAAGTCTGAGTCCTCAGCTACTCAGTTTTCAAAGCAAACAAACTGATTTTTATATACCCTCACGTGTGTTATCTCAATTATAAACAACTTAGACTCTAAGCAGTTTGAGAGTAAGAATTATGCAATTTCTTCTTTGATTCCCCACCATGGAGAAGCATCGCAGAGAATGCTCAGTAGCAAGGGGCTTTCCGAAATGCTAAAATGCCACTCATATGGAGAACAGAGATCATTATTCATCATTAAATAATTATTCTGGGACAGGGAAACCCAGAAGGTGAAAAACTTGAAAGCCATCGCTCTCCACAACATGACAAAGAGATAAAGCTTCGCGAATAAAATGAGCGCCTAGAGAGCGCCATGTAGGAGGCTACACTAGTTTGAACATACACATCATTTAGTGTCACATGACTGGGCACAGATCCTCTCTAGTAATTTTTTTTTCTTATTTTGGAATTTTGAGCCAAGGTCTTGCTATGTAGTTCAGGCTGGCTGTAGTGATCCTCCTGTCTCAGCCTCCTGAATGCTAGGATTGCAGGCGTGGGCCACTATACCAGGATTACTCCTGTAACTTTAACCAGTGCCTTGTTTAATACAGCACAATCAGATTAATCTCTACCAATGGTTAACATTAAGCTTAATTTTACAATCTCTAACAATTTGCCAGCCAACTAGGGTTATTAAAAACATGTAATTCTGAATAACGATACCATTGTAAACCAACAACGTCTAGATCTCAGAAGAAAAAAAAAAGGGTAGAAAAAAGCAGTTACAACAGACGGCTACTATTAAGAAGGGACATAGAGTAGACATAAAAGTATGATTTTTAAACCAAACTACATTCTTCTAATCTTTGAGCATCAACAGGTGATAAATGATTTCTACTCAAACAAGAAATCAGTACACTAAAAGTAAACCTATCAGGTCCTTCCTTTCCTTTGACAAGAAAATTTCAACACCGTAATTATTGATACCAGTCATACAAGGACATAACTACGAAATAATGCCACAAGTGTCCAGTATAAAACAAAATATAGGATGCCATCCCTAGGACTTCGGAGTTTAAAAGTACTGAGACATTTAGAAATGTTAATGTTATTCTCATCAACATAATGATAACAAGTAGCCATGTACTACTTTCAGGTTTTAATTTACACGTGTTTTGATACTTGTTACTTCTCACTAAAATTTTTAAAACCAGTGTAAGAGAAAACCTAGAAATTTTTTTTTTTTTTTTTTTTTTTTTTAATGTATTTGGTCCAGGGTCTCACTATGCAGCTCGGACTCATAATGATCCTCCTGTTTTCAGGCTCCCCAGCGCTGGAATTACAGGTGTGTGCCACCACACTCAGCCTCTGTGGGCAGCTCAGCGTGCCCGTGGGTGCGGCTGGAGCGGCACGTGGTGCTGGGGATTAAACCCTGGTTCCTGTGTTCCCTAAGCTTGCCTAAGCAGGCGCTTTACTCTGCTGAGCTATCTTGCTGGCCCAACATGGAATGCTTTGAATGCGTTTACATTAACAGGATGTATCTTTTCCTTGGGAGCTGTTAGTAGGCAAGCCCACTCTATACTGAGAATCAAAAATTAAGCTAAAGGGGCTGGGGAGATACTTCAGGGGCTTACGTGCCTGCCTGGCAAGTGCAAGGTCTTAAGTTTGATTCCCAGTTAAAAAAAAAAAAAAAAAAAAAAAAAAATTAAAAATTAAGCTTGAGTCACCTGTGCCTGAATCTACCTTGGCCAGAATTTCTTTTAAGTCTGCAAATTCTGACATAACACTTACATTACCTTGCTAGGAGACTGCAGTCAGAGCATCTGCGCAATCTTAGTTGCAATTCCAAAGAAAGTAAAGGCTCAGTTATGGTCCTCCTGACTTTTCTTTCAGAAGTACATTTTGGGTGACACAGACATCAATGGCCAGGTTACTCTCAAAGACTTCGCCCTGTTGCCACAGGATCTCACTATGTAGCTCACAGCCACCCTCCTGCCTCAGCCACCCAAGGGCTGGTGTTACCAGCACACATAGCCACAAGGGGCAAGGTAATTTTTTGTTTCCAATAGGGCATCCTTAAAATTTTAGCCAAGTTAGCCATGGGGCTTGCAGGAAAGAATGTCTGTTTCTCTGCCAACACAATGCTTCAGTGTGTCCACAAAACGGGTAGGCGCAATCTCCATTCAATGTCTATGTTCGATTAGGGAACTACTCACCCACAGTGTACCAGCTGGCATCGGTCAGCTTGCTGATAATGGCTTCCTGAAAGGATCCGTCAGGAGTCCTCGTTTCAACAATTGCTCCAACCTAAAACACGAACCCCAAACATCTTTACCAAATGTTAACAAACTGAACCATTCCCATCAACTACACTGGAAAGAAAAATGAAGCTGACGGTACTTCTTCCCTAGTCTGGCTTAGAACGGCATTACTTACAGGGCTGCGTTCCTCATTACCTAACTTGAGACACAAATCTCTTTGGCTTATGGCTTTAGTAAGGCACCTACATTTTACAAACTGAAAATCATGATTCAGAAAAGTAAAATAATTTGCATGGGCTAGGCACCCGGTCTTTTAAATCTTAAATCACACTGCCATGCAGCAAATGAAACATAAGAAGTCTAAAACTGCTGAACACGGTGGTGCTGTCATCCCAGAAGCCAGGAGGCTGAGGCAGGTTTAGTGAGTTGGAGGCCAACCTGGGTACACAGTAGATTTGATGTCAGTCTGAATTAAACAGCAAGAATCTATCTCAAAAGAACAAAAGACAAAACCTTAAGACAATCAAAATAGACTCTAATTTTCTTTCATAGAAAAATTGCCTACCAGATTCAGCATCTGTATTTAAGGGACCTTTTAGATAAGGGTTCACCTGGCGACATGGCCACGGAGTTGACTTCCTTCCAGCTTTCAGACCTCTACAGATCAGATCTTAACTGAAGGGAAACTGACATAAGATTCAACACAAGAAGAAATGGCCAGACATGGATGAAAAATGTAGTTAGGAATTCACTAAAGCAAGCTGTGGTTCCATCACTGGTACTGAAAAAACTGAATTATGAAATGGACATAGTTTACTTGGCAAATCACAATACAAGATTAAAGCTTTTGCTACTGGTTATACGACATCACAGCTCTCACCCAAGAGAGGCCAACAGTGTGAAAACCAAAGTAAAGTAGTCAAGCCAAGAATTCAAAACAAAGGGCAAATGAAAACATATTTAAATACATTAAAGCATTCTGGTGCACACTATTGATATTCTTAAGCTAAACATACAATCGTTGTAATTTATACTAATTACATTAACATCCCATTTATATTTTTACTTTGATAAACATTCTGATGAAGTTATACACAAATGTAAATTACAGTATGATTCACTCTTCTAGATTTGAAACTGTACAGTCTTACTACCTTTCTTATACTCTTGTTGCTACTGCTGTTTTTCTTGAGATAAACTCTCACTGTGTAGTTCAGGCTGGTCTTGAACTCACAGTGATCCTCCTGCCTTAACTTCCTTAGTGCTGGGATTACTGGTGTGCACCTCCACACCCAGGTACAATGTTTCTATTGGTGTGTGTCTGTGACACCCAGTGAGTATGTGATACACACGCACATCTCAGCCTAATCGCCCCCCCACACTTCTACTCTATTCCTTCCCCAGATCCCTTCCCCTTTCTACAGAGTTCACCTTCTCTTCACGGCTACTTCCCATACACTCTGAGTCTCTCCTATTAGAGAAATTGCAGTATCTAATCTTTTGTGACTCATTTATTTCACTTACTCTTAAAGGACCTTTGACTTGGTCATCCTGCACCAATTGTGTTGTATTATCCTGTTTCAGGAGTACCTGAAAAACATTTTTGCACGGTAATTTGCATGTTGCTTTTAAAATAATATATTTACAGTGACACTGCAACAATGGTATCATTAACCTGTGCTTCCCAAGAACCCTGTGGTTACCTCTGCTGTAACAGTTATTACACCGCCTTCTCTTTACATTTATTGTCTCTTTCATTAAGTGAGTTCCTTGAGGGGCCTGCAGCCCTCTTACTACCCTTTCCCCAGCAGGTAGCAAATGTCCTTGCAGGCTACAGGCATTTAATAACTGTTTACTAAAGGAAGGAACTATAGATTTACAATCTAGCGTGATTACTGTGAAAGGTTAAACTGCCTATTGTGTGTTTCATCATTAACTTACATTCTGATTGTCACCAAGCATTAAAAACAAAAACAAAAACAAAAAAATTTAGGGTCTATTTAAACCCATAACTTTTTTGGCCCTTAAGACTGAAAAATCGGGGCTGGAGAGATGGCTCAGTGGTCTAAAGCACCTACTTGAAACAAGCTTGGCAAAGCACAGGGACCGCGGTTCGATCCCCAGCACCACATGCCAGCCAGACCCGCCCCCTGGTGGGCTGAGCTGGCCACACACACACACACACAATAAATAAATGTAATAAATAAAAATAAATAAATATTAAAAAAAAAAAAAAAAAGACTGAAAAATCATGATAACTGGTTCAGGCAGAAGCAGGTACTTGAAAGGTAGACCTTTCTCCTTTCATATCCTCCCAAATATACAGGACAGCTACCCAAATGAGTAAATTCAAATTCAGTATGAAAAACAATCATTGTACTGATTCTTCAAAAAACACATGGCCGGGGATATAGCTCAGTGACACAGCCCCTGCCTGGAAAGTGCAAGATTCTGAGTTCAATTTCAGGCACCAAAATAAACAAGAGCCAAAAAAAAAGCACAAAAAAGAAAGTTAGGGCCGGAGAGATGGCATAAGTGCTTGCCTGGCAAGCGCAAAGGTCTGAGTTTAATCCCCAGTTCTGCCAAAAAAAAGAAAAAAAAAAAAAAAAGAAAGAAAGAAAAAGTTAGAATTGTCAAAGACATTCCAATAAATATTAAGTAACCAAATCTTACAAAGCTTATATTGTCAAAAGAGTTTCGTAGCTCTAACATGTTTGTATAAGCACAGGTTGCTTTCTTTAAGTAACAAAACTATTAAAATCTGTATTTACATAGAAAAAGTTACTAGAAGGAAGCAAAATTTATCAGTATTTTTGAGAAGTGAGCTTGGGTATTAATCTATTTGGAGTTTTCTCTGCATTCTTAAAAATTGTGCTGAAATATGTTAACTTTCACTTTTTCCTGGTTATGGAAGGATCTCACAAATAAACTCCTTGAATCACTTTTACTGCTGTCTTCAAAACACAGTTCCCAGTGCACTGTTCTTCCTAATTACTGAAACTGTCTCTACCTGAACATTATGAAAAGACAGAACACAGATAATCGCCTATTTAAGTGTTCTACCACAACGGGAGGGAAGGGGCCTAATGAAGGAGCATTACAAGCATGAAACTGTGACAAAAGCATTCTGGAAAAATGCCTCATTTTGGTTCTTTCTTTTTCAATTTTTAATGCACCTTTCCTTTAAGTTTAGCACTGTTAATGCTTTCATAGAGTACTGATTAATTAAAAAAAAAAAACCACTGACTTGCAGTCTCCCCTTACTAACACTCCACTCCCTTCACCCAAGGAACGAAATAAAAACCGATTTAGTACCTTCACCTTCACCAGCCTTTTCACAGTCTTGATCTTCGCCTCGCAGAAGGCACCGCGGTACTTGGCACTGACGTCCGTGCCCACAGTCAGGTAGGCAGGCTCGTCGGCCGCCTGGGGAGAGGGCAGGACAGGGCAGGACAGCAGCTGTGAGTCCCAGCAGCTTCTCCCCGCCCCCCCCCAGCCTCAAACTGCAGTAAAACCTTCCAAGTCCAGTCATGAGGACATTAACACTATCTGCTTAGTAATGCCACCGATGATTTGAAAAATACCCCTAAAGCACTTTATTAACAAGACTTTATGAATACACTGATTGCCTTATACAATCCAATATTTTGAAATTATAATTGGAAGCTATGAAAAAGGAAGTACAGTAATTTTTCTACATATAAAATGTTTTTAAAAATTTAGTCATTTATGTAGGAAATGAAAAAACAGAAAAACTATATCCAATTATATATTAAAAGCCATTTATAGCACCCTGAGAATTGTTTTAAAAGATAGTGCTATTAAAAACAATACTACCAATGTGTAATTGTTTGATATAGCTCATGAAAATAGCATTTTGAATGTAGTTGATTTTAAAGATAGCAAACTAAGTTGGCTTTTTGGGAAAATTTATAGGCTAAAAGCTGCAAATTCACTTCAAGAATGCAGGGATGGAATGATGGCTTGAGACTATGGCCACATAGCCAGAAGAGCTTTACCAAGAAAAGCCTATGTTCAGCAAATAGCCCACAGCACAACAGTACCTTGAAAATTCAGAGGAATTTCTCTCTGCCATTCATTTTCATCTTAACAGTAACAAGACAACTACCATCAGAGCGTCACTATATGTTTTCTCTGAAAGTTACATACTTACAAACGCAACTTAACATTACTATGTGCAAAGGTAACAGTGTACACTTGTGCTATCCATTTTTAAGTACAAAATAATGGTTTATTTTCTAGTAAGTTTTCCCAAGTGGATTCTCAAGATTGTTTTCTGTGTTTTACTTCAATCACAAGAGGTAGGCAAGAAAAACTTGGGGAAAAGTCTGTATTTTTAAGCTTAACATACTGAAAAAAAAATTTAAAAAAAATCAGACACCCTGGGGCTGGCAAGATGGCTCAGTGGTCTAAAGCACCTACTTAGAACAAGTTTAGCAAAGCACAGGGACCGCGGTTCAATCCCCCAGCACCACATGCCAGCCAGCCCCGCCCCCTGGTGGGTTGAGATGCCCCACCCCACACAAATAAATAATAAATAAAATAAGTAAATTTTTTAAAAAAAATCAGACACCCTTTATAGTCAGTATTTGATGAAGTATATAAATGGAAAAGGAGCATTTGGCAAATATTGTCCACAAATAGTCAATGGTCACATACTTCACAGCGCTATGAGAACTTCCTTTCTCTTCCTTTTAAACAGTAAAACGGGGATGTTTGCAACATTAGGTATCTCCAGTATATAAGTATTACGGATAAACGCCTATGCTTTAAAGTACTACAAAGACTGAATTAAAACTGGGTATTATTATTAGAGTTCAACTACTCAAAGGCTATAATCATAGATATTTGCTTTGTCCCTACTATCTCCTTTACTCAGTCTGACAATGGAAAAGGAAAAAAAAATCAAAAAAATCCCCCAAAGAACCACAGCAGGACAAAGCTTTACTTCTGCAAAGGTTGCAGCCAACACAGGAAGTGTTTAAAATACTAGCCTAATGGACAGGAGCTGAGAGGCTGCTCTGCCTCTCCAAACTGCTCGCTGCTACGCGGGCTGAGGTGGCAGCGCTCAAGACAGGACTCCTGGCCCATTCACTTGTCCTCGTTTTCAGAAAGCACCACTGTAGCGAAATTTCAATTCCGAGTAACAAAAAGGTAACAATCCGCTCCGCCGCAGCGGGCCCGCGGCTGGCACGTCCCGGGCACGAGGCTTGGCGGAGTTGGACTCCACTTACCTTCATTTTCACCGGGGATCTGTGAGGCTCCAGTTCCACGAGTTCTCTCCTCTGTCGCTAGAACCGCGGGTGAGAGCAGAAAGCACGGAGTCGGTCAACATTGGGGTGCAATCCGAGGGAGAAAGTAAACAAACGTCGGCGGGGAGGGATGGCACCTCGCGCGGCAGGGAGACACAGCGGGGGACAGCGGGACGCGCGCGAAGGGCAGCCCGCCCCGCGCTCCGATCGCTGGCCCGAGGCGATGCCCTCGGTGTCACGGCGCCATTGCGCCCGCCCTCGCCTCGCACCGTGTCAGCGGCGAGCAGCAGGGGCGGCGGCCTGCAGCCGGGGAGCTAGCGCGCGGGGACCCCGCGGGGC